AACTAGAGGGAAAATGTACGCAAGGTGCAGAGAGGTAAATAGCATTTCTGAGTTGATATTCTTCAGATTATAATCAGGCCAAAGACACTTGAAAAAGTGACATACTCCAGTGCCACTGGTTGCTAAGTTCCATAAAAACCATTGTTTACTGTAATATAAATGACAGATAAAATATAAAATATGGAAGAATATTATAAAACTATATGCTTCAAAAGTTTACCTGACTGGAACCTAACTCAGAAAATTCACCTTACCTGTAAATAATACATCTCCTCCATCAATTGTTGCTTCTGGGTCTGAAATTTCTAGAATTGGAAGCTCAAGTTCCTTTTTGATGACAGTCCTAATCATTTCCACCTACAAATAATAATTAAATGACATAAAAATGTGACTATTATGAAACACAATTATGTTCTGAAACATTCTGTTGTCATAACTAATATTCTTAGTAATCCCTCAAATGATACTGTTACGTCTCTGTTCGTTAGTTAATTTTCCGTAAATTCGTTCCGACGAAACTTTAGCAACACAAGTCTTTTCTTAAATAAAACTGGTTTGTTCTTTCCGATTACAACTTTACCAATACACTTAATTTCAACAGTCGCTCTATAACAAACGCTAGAACGTCTCACGTGCTCGTGCTCGACAATACTGAATTACACACTCTCTGACTCCAGTCCCAGTAGTTTGGAAATTGTAAATACTTCATTGAAAAAAAAAAATTTGTTATGAAGACAGAATTATTATCTGTATTTTACAAAGAAAAATTTATTTCACTGAAGTGGCAAAATAGTTTATTCCTCCCATTTTAGTTTGTATTAGTCATCTCATCTTGTTTAGTTTTGTTTGTGTTAATATTCCCATATAGTTTTGTTTTAGTTTTCCCTTGTAGTTTAATTTTAATTGTGGTAATCCTCTCATGTTTGTATAGGAATAGGTAGTGTGGGTAGAATCAGTTGCATGTATTAGAGGATGGTTTTTGAGAGGAGATAGATGTTAGCAATTAACTTAGACTGGTATGCACACATATGTTGAAGAGATAAACTTTGATCTTAGCATTTTGTGCTTTTTTCTTGTTTTAAAAAGTATTGTTGCATCAGCGAGGTCACGTGACTAGTATCACGCCACTTTTTTCTCGAACCTTCGTAAATTGTCGGGAGATTACTAGATTGGGGGTAGTCTGGTATATATAAGATGGTCACAACGTGACGGGACAATGTGTAGGTAATGAGTAATTGGATAAAAAAGATCTTTTTAGGCAAGTGTAATCATTTAGCATGGTCCCAACTTATCAGCTGCATATATTGTTGGGTCAATAATCCTTTTACTTCAAGTTTGATTTATCATAATGCTGCAGCTATCTATCAGCTATTATGTATATATATGAATATAGAGCCTGAAAGGCCATTTCCTTGCAATGCCCTTAAGTTACATTTTTTTGGGCATCATGTGTGATAAAGCACTTTCATATGAATGATAAAAGTTAGAAGTTTTGTATCATGAATCACATTTGCCCATATTTTCTTTAACCACATATGGATAATAAATACAGTGCAAAAAAGCTGAAGACAATAAAAAGGTTTTATACCAAAAACGATATTAAAAGATGTTTTAAATGTTAAATAGGGTTCAGTGTAGTATGTATATAACAAATGTATGGTAACTGTTAATATTAAAAGAAAACACAAATAATGAATACATATATTCAAGCTTTGGTAAGCATTTTGAATTATGTAAAATGGAAAGGAAGATAAGAAAAAGATGTACTTGTGTCATTATGTATGGTAAGTAGCATTCTCTGAAGCAATTGTAAGTTAAGTATCAGACACAAATAACTATTCACTTTTCATTACCATGTGGGTTGATGTTTGGAGTTTGAGTAGATTGAAAGGTACTCATACCACAAATGATGGGGAAAAAATACAAAATTTTTTTGTGATTATTATATATATATTTAGTAACTACTACAGGATTACAGAAAAGACAAATAATGATTTAATAATCTAAAGCTATGTAGTGGTGAAATCTGGAAAATTAAAATAATAACAAAATCAAAAAGCCCAGTGAATCTGAGCTGCCAGCTTCTAAAGAAAAACTGCCAATTGATTTTTGATTTTACGATACAAACTAATTAATAAACAAGAGATTTATAATACTAACACTTTTTATGTCAACCAGTTAGTAAGATAAAGAGAATAAAAGAAAAATTATCATATGATGTTTGAAGAAATGCTTTAAAATAAGTATCTACAGTTTAACGAATTTTTATTGCTCATTATATTGTTGCCTGATGAAAGCTCTGGTAAGAGGGCCAAAAGCTTGCAAATAAAAGTATTTTAATGTAGAGAAAAGTCCATATATAATTCTTCAAAGGTGTTTTCTTTTACATCTTAAACTATATACTACAGAAGAAAAGACATAATTCACCAGAGCTGTGTCCAATTTGCCTCTGGAGATGCTTATCTATATCTACTGAAAAGTTGTTGGATTCATGTCCAAACATTAGCCTTGCATTATGCATCGTTTGATTGTACCTGCAACTGATTGTTACCAAACCTGGCATGTGTTCTAAAATCTCGCTGGGGAGTGACATAAGGGACTGGTGTTTGTATTCTACCCTTCTATGTGATTCCCAGGTCCCCCTATGGCTTCCCCATGTGTTGAATAAGTACTCTAAATTTGACGTCAATAATCTAGTGAATTAGAGACACATAGAAGGACGAGAGTAGATTATAAATACAAATTACAAAGATCATTGAAGCATTGATTTAGTTTTTTTCCCAATTGGTATATTTATTCAGTGAAGTATTTGGGTCTATGTTAGTTATCACACATATTCAGTTACTTTATCGATGGGTCATGGTATTTCTATATGAATGTATCGTTTGTAAGCCCCCCAGTGGCACGTCTTCAGACTTACAATGCTAGAAACTGAGTATCGATACCCATGGTGGGCAGAGCACAGATAACCGATTGTGTATCTTTGTGCTTAACTTCAAACAAACTCCTTAGGCATCACTTGAAAGTTACAGGAATAGATGTTTTTAAGTTTAACTTGAAAGGATATGTTGTAAGGAACTTTAGATTAAATCTAAATAAAAACACCTACCAGAGGATAACAGGAAGAAGGAACTGCTACATGGCCTTAAATGAAAGATCAAAATATTTGGCTTTAAAAATGGATGCTATTGGTTGTGATGACTTGAATGTCAAAATTTGCTTACATGTAAAAGATAATTGGCTATTCTACGTTTTCTAGCCTACTTTCATAAACTTGACTTTGAATATTTTAACCTCATGCGTCCTCTAGCTAACATCTAAATTACAGTATTGAAAATATAGCTTACAAACACAATTTGTCATTAATCATCGTTGTAGAACTAACTTTCTGAGGAAATTATAATCTTGCTTTCAATAATACTAATACGTCACTTTACCCATTTTGTTTAGCTAATTAAATACAGTTAAAACACGTTTTAAAATTATTTATTTGCTGCTATATATTGGTACTAATAGTAATACTACGTTAAGATAAACATTAATGTTAAACCTAAAGAAAAGTTTATACATTTTAAACATTACATATTTATTGTACTACAAGTTTTATTCCTATTGCCACAGTATTGTAATTAGTAATGCTAATACTAAGTCTCTCATTGTCTTTCAAAATCCACGGTTTTAAGTGTTGTTGCGTCAGCGAGGTCACGTGACTAGTATCACGCCACGTACTTCTCGAACCTTCGTGAATTATCGGGAGACTACTAGATTGGGGGCAGTCTTGTATATATAACATGGTCACAACGTGACGGAACAATGAGTAATTGAACTGCAGTCAGAGAGTGTGTAATTGAACTGAGTGTTATTGAAGTTGAGCACGTGAGAAGTTCGTTGCTATAGCGTTTGTTATAGCGCGACTGTTGAAATTAAGTGTATCACAAAGTTATTTTCAGAAAGAATAAACCAGTTTTATTTAAGAAAGGTCTTGTGTCGCTAAAGTTTCGTCGGAACGAATTTACGGAAAATCAACTAACAACTGGAGGCGTAACAGTGTTTATATTTCACTAGTACTCAGTAGTAGTATTACAAGTACGACAGAACTCACTAAAACTTAAATTTATATTACTACTAGTACTATTGACTGTGACAGAAATTACTACAGTACACTGTACAGTACAGAACTGTATTATCTGCAATGGGCACTAACTTTTTAGCAACATCTCATAGTCATGATAAAATGCTTAACAAAAGAAAAAAAAAAGAAATTGTTTGCTGACTTTTGAGTAAGTTAATAATTTGGCACTGGCGCGTTATACAACTTACAAGTAACCACTACTTATTTTAACTGATTAAGCATTTTAAGCAGAGGCGTCACTAGGCACTGGCAAACAGGGCTCATGCTCAGAATTTTTTGAATTCTCAGTTGGTGTCTTGAAAAATCAGAATAGAAAACCATGATCAATATCATACTGAAACGTCTAAAATTCCAACGTATATGGACCCAAGCCTCGGGTTTTGTAAATACCTAGCGACGGCTCTGATTTTAAGCCAGACTATGGACTTACTTCTTTCTGCCTTGTCGGGTGTCCAGGGCGGCATATCAAGGCTGTTCCATTACAGATCACAGCTGTATCTTCAACGAAAACAGAGTCAGGCAAGGTTTTCGTCTTCTGGAAGCTCAATGACTTTAAGACCAACATTCCTTAAAGCTTTACAGTACTCTTCATGTTGCGTTTTAGCCTTTTCTAAGTCAATTTCGTCCGAAATTCCGAGAGCTAGTGTTTTAAAACTGTTGGGAATACGACGAACTATCGCATGAGTACTCATGATGCTTCACTTCCAGTTTCAATTCCAGGTTGAATTTTATATAGCCGGTAACTCGCTGAATTCTCGTTTCGACATCGGGAAATGCGTCATTTGATGTTATGGGAGAGTCAGGTTAAACTACCTAGTTTCCGCTAGATTGCAAGATGAGAAAACCAGTTTATGTAATTTCCGCGCATGTGTTTTTCCTACGAATTTTAGTGATAAAACCTTGGGAGGTTCATGTGATGTAACAAAAAGTGGCCAAAGTACCTGGCAAAGGATTTCCCATGTCTAATCCGGGTAACTGGAGGAAGTACGGAATTTTTGTACTGAGTAGGCAAATAAACGTGGCTAGTTGTAACCGTTCCATTAGGTGTTCCTGTTTTATGTTTATTCTCTTTTTGGGGTCTTGTGAAATAATTTATGCAGTAAGTTGTATTGCTTCATGACAAAGGTTTTGAGGAAATAGGTTTACGACATCAAAGCTAGACATAATGATGTTACTGTCTAAACAATGTAAGTGTTGTAGAAAGTGTGAAGTGTCTTTTAATTGAGTGCTTATTTTGGAAACATAAGGTTCTAAAATCCAGTTGCAGTATTTACAAAGGTTGTAGCTTTAAGGGTTATAAGAAAACATAATTGGGCATAAGATTATTGTGTTTTTATTGACTTTTTGGTAAACGGTAGATTTTTGGAGTTCTAGGTTGGTTTGTATAAAATATAAAGTTTATAAAGGTAATAGTTTTATCTTTTAATAGTACTTCTTAGGAACAATGAAGACTATCATTCAAAGAGCCGATAAAGAAAACTCGATCGTGATTTTAACAACCAAACAGTATGATTCCTTAATGGTAAATATATTGAATGATACATCTAAGTTTACTCAGGCCAATATTGACCTTAACCCAAAATACAACAAAAAATTGTGAAACTACTCAAAAAAAACAACATAATCAACTTCGCGAACTTTCAACTCAGTGAACCTTAAACCACAGCCATAAATAAAGGTGTTAAACAACGCAGTAACTCTTCTCACCATCCCAGTGTTAGATTTAAAAAAACAGCCTTGAACACCTCTGCAGGGAAGTAATAATAGGATCAAATCGCAAATCCAACCAGCCTCAACTAATCTCAAGTCAGAGATCACAAGAAGAATCTGCATTTAATTCATCTCAGGACAAGGAAGAGTCATCAGAAACGTTCAACATCCCCCCCCCCCCAAAAAAAAGAACAATTTAATGAGCAATTTCCCTACCGAACCAAAAGCAGGTCCATTAAAAAAAAACTTCCTATAATAATTTAGTGAATAGACTTCAAAAATACTAAACAAAAAAAGCCTATAAAACAAATTTTGACTTCAGCATAATGAAAAGGCCTAAAACATTACATAAAAACGCAATGAAATTAAAGAATGTGTTGATAAGTTTAACCTTTCTAAAAAGTTGCAAAATATAAAAATTGACACCAATTTTTCAATAATTAAAGTAAACCTTCAGCCCATCCTAAAAATTAACAGTATCCTTAGAAAAATTCAAATAAAACTTTTAAAACAAAATATAAAGGAAAAGCACAGAGAGCTGAAATTTCTCCGTAAAAATAAACTTAACCACCGTAGCAACCTTGCAAGTTTAACTACCACTGAAGATTAGAACTTACTTTCATCATTCATATATAAAATCACTTATTTTAAAGGCTTAACTATCAAACGAAAGCTAGAAAAACTTCGCCTGTCAGTAAAATAAAAAAAAACAGAATCAGACACTGTAAAAATAAATTTCTTTTTTCGTATCTCACCATAACATAGACGGATTCAGCCGGTGAGGCTTAGGTTGTTAAATGGAAACATTAGGCTTAGCTGGCTTTTATAAGATACGTAATACGGAAATGAAACTATAATTTTATGTGGCTTCTTGTAATTGTGGAGTAACATCTGAAATGTTTCTTGGTATTGAGTAGTCAGGTTAGGCCTATATACGTAATGACGTAAAACTAAGATGATAGGAAAGTTGGACGTTAGGCAGAAAGAACTTAAAATTGTACGAACAAAACTCATTTGCTGCTGTAGTGTGAACTAATACTAGTTTCGTTTTGAGTTTACTTACTCGGTTACTGATCAAGTATATTTTATTATAACTTACAGCTTTTACAGTAAGTAAGATTAGGTTTTAGAACAGATATGACGTTTCGATCAATGGTGCGATCATTGTCAACTAGACAAGTTTTTGTGGTGAAAAGAACGTCTTACTTTTATTAAATCTAACAATGTATTTCTAGAATTGATAGTAGTTACTTATTCGTGTAAGTATCAATTCGCGTGAAGTTTACAGATTGTTCATCTATGGCTAAACAAAACAATCCAAAGATGAATAAATATAAAAAAGTATGGAATACTTTATGCAAAATACTTGCATAATCTTAGGTATGTGTGGGGAATTAACGGTTAAAGATCTATATATATATATATATATATATATATATAGATAG